TATGTTTATGAGCTTATAAGAACAATTGGGTGTAGCTTACTTTGCACTTGGCAGGTTACACGCATGCGCTCAGTGAATGCCACACCTGCAGCCAGGGTGTTGCCTTTGGTGAGTGCGTGTAACGCCCACTTGCCTTTTGTATCGCAGTAAAAGTTGTTGGCGTTGGCGTGATGTTTTTCTTTTCCAAGTCTTAAGTAGATGCCAGTGAAATTGATAGTCGTTTGAGAGCTTTTATCCAGACAGTAAGAAACTCTCCATGCCGCTGGGAGACTCCCCTGAGACGTTTCTTCAGTCATGATTCGGATTTGTTGGCCCGTGTTTGTGTTGCTACTTTTTGTGGTGAGTCCAGAAAGACTTTTGTGTCGATTAGAAAAGACTTTCATATGGAAAGTAGTTTTTTTTTTCTATGAAACAAGCTTAATTCATAATGTGATTCTTTTGTTGCTTTTATTATTTAGGTTTTTCGTCTTTTTAAAACATAAATCAATCAAAATGTATAATAGATTAAAGACAACAAATTATAGTCAAGCATTTTTAAATCTAATCACAATTATGAATAGTAAAATTAGCATTATCGTGATTTCAGTAGGCAATATGAAGCAAAACCGGTGCTAAAAAGCGATCGTCTGCTAAAACATGATGCCGTGTCATGATGTAGTTATCCCGGAGATAATTTGTAATAAATAAAATCAAATATGTGTTATAAATAATATCAAGCTGAACCTGCCGCAATTTCCTCCCCCTGTCCAAATCATTGACAAACGTGGTTTGAGAATCTGGTATATTGAGCGTTAGTTTAGAAAAGTCGACTTCCCGCAGACGTGGTTATGCGCTTATCAGGCAAAACGTCCTCAGTTTGCTGAAATAATCCCCTCCGGCACAACGTGACAACAATAAATGTATAATTTTCTGTCGTGACCCAAACAAATGAACGGCAATGTAATGACATTCATCTTTAACTTTTTTTACTAAAGTAAAATATCAGTTGGAATTGAGGCGGAGTCGACTGGATCCGCTGTCCTTGCCCAGGGCGCGCTCCAGAAGGGGAAACAGATTGTGTCGGGGGCAGCTTCACTGGCAAGACCCCGGTGTTTGCCATAAAATGATTGCTCACATTTAAACTGTTATAAATGACTTGCTTGATCTATAATCTGTCAAAAAATAGATCAAACACATCTCTCCTAAAATATATCAAGTAATTTTGAGGTAGAGGGAGCATCCCTATCAGAGGCTCTAATCAATTTTTGGAAAGTGACTGTTACTTATCCTGTTATTTATCCCGGCAAAAAGTGCCATTGACATTAAAAATTTATTTTTCGGGAGAGAGCTGGCTAGCAGAAGTTGTAACAAATAGAGCAGAACTGTGATGTGATAGGTTACCAAGGAGGACTGGATTGATTATAATATGGTTAAAATGATGCAGTCATAAAGATGCTTCAAAAAGGAATAGTTCTTCTATTTTATATCTAACCCAGGGGTCTCAAACTCGCGGCCCAGGGACCACTTACGACCGTGTCACCCCTACTGTATATTGCTGTGAAAAAATATAATGCGATTTGGCCCATTAGGTGTTTTTTCTTTGGGAGGATTTGTTTGTTGCTGAGTGCAATGTTAAAATAAGTTCTTTAAAAAGCAAAAAATATATTTATATGAAGGCAATATGAGCAGAGAGTACAAACATGTTGAGGGATTGGCTGTGTTAGTTCAGTGAGAGTTATTTGTAAAGAAAACAATTTTCACTAGCAGTCAAAAACTAATGTGTACACTTATATCTGTATTTTATTTTGTTAAATACGAACAAAATATAGCAGAAGTGCTGCCACGTGTCTGGCCAGAAAGAGAGTACATTTGTTTATTTGGTAGTTCAATGAAAGGCTTCAGTTAAGAGTGAGGGAAAAAAATTGCATCATGTTTGCAGTTTTTCTTGTTATACAATATTTAAAGTTTAAAAAACAAAACACTGCATTTTTAGACATATTTGTGGGTGTATTCTTGGGGTTTTTTCTTACTATTTGAACACGTAAGCAACCCTCCAATGAGAAGACTGCACAAGCAGTGGCCTACAGCTCATTAAGTTTGAGAACCCTGAATCTAACCCATTCATAAATCCTGTTCACTAAGGTCTATTTAACAGTATAAGTAAGCATTGTAGACTACAAAGCACACACAGAAAACTCTGAAATCACTTTTTTTTTCAGTCGCTTTTTGGCACAACACTGAAATACACTCTAGTTCAGCCTCTGCATTAACTAGGCCAGCTTGGACACGCCTGAGCTTTTTTTCCCCCTTTGTACTATTTTACCTTTTTACCGAACTAAAGTTGTTTGGTGTTGCTTGAATCAAGATGTAATTTGGATGGAATAGCTATTGGCATTCAGAACGCAAACTCAAAAGTAAAAAACTCTCAGGAAAAATTCTGTTGTTCATAACTGAATGTTATTATTATCTATAACTGTTGATTCTTCACTTTACATTCTGAAAAACCATTAGGTCACTATAATAAATACATTTGGTTTCATAGTTATAAAAGTGTGGGAAATAAGGTTCTGACCTCAGAGAGATTTCTTCAAGTGAATAGAGAGTTGTTTTTAAGTGCTCTGAATGAGTTATTTGATGGCAGTAAAAGTATACAACCACTCCTTACTTTTCTTCTCATTATTACCTTACATGCTTCAACTGAACCTTTCCAGTAGTGGCAAGAGGTGTGTCAGCTTTTGTGTTTACTGGGAAAGCTAGCAGCTTTATAGCCCCTGCAAGGTGTGTGTTTTTACATGCACAGTTTAATAGCATCTTGATTTATGATTAGTTCACAATGTATCCTGCAGAGTTTGTTGGCTGGCTGAGACGCCACACATGCATGCATACACACACACATATTTACATACATACATACATGTATACGTGTGTGTGTGTGGCGAGCATGTATGTGTGACAACTCAGCCAAAGCAAGAATTTTTGAAAGTAAAGACCTGAAACTTTCCTGCTGTGAGTGAATTATTCGCCAAGTCATATTTTACCTGCTAAAGACAAGAAGATTGACAAACAATTGCAGACTGTTGCTTTTAAGGTTTTTCAAACTGATATATAACAAAAACCTGATCTTTAAGCATCTCTCTAGGTTTTAAATTACAGACAGTAATTCCAAGAAATGCTTGACAAGGATTAAAAATGGGTGTTCTTGTTTCCTTTAAATGGCTGGTGATTTCTCCAAACATGTTTAAGCGTATGTGTTGTATTTCAGGTCCAGGCTGTTGTGACGAAAGCCAAATCTGGAGACAGTCTAATAAGAAGAAAAAGAGCCTGGCTTCCCCCACCACTGAAATTGGAGGAAAATGTGGACCACACACAAAAGACTTCTGTTGCCAGGGTGAGTCATTGATTTAGTTTTTTATTCCTTTTTATTTTGATGATCTTTTAATTTTTTATTTTAATTAAATTGATAAAAATAATTTTTATTAGGGTTAGAAAATCATGATATACAATATATTAAGGTTTTTAGCATTAACATACTAAGATATGAGGAATCTATAAGGAATCTGTGTTGTCTTTGTTGTTGTTATTGTCCTATGATTATGACATATTTGTGAATTATGCTATGCTTAGCTTTTCATCTCATTTTCAGATTCATTCAGATTTAGATGATGGTAAAGGAAATCTCAAATACTTCCTGAATGGCCGTGGCGCAAACCAAGATCCCTTCCATGTGTTTGTAGTTCACGAAAGAACTGGATTTATTCGTGTGACCCAATTACTTGACAGAGAGTTCATCAGTATGTACAATGTGAGTGAGACAAAACGGTTATTTTCCATCATGACTTCAGTGCATTCCGTATCAACAGTTCACATAAATATTTGTAACGTCTTAATTAAACCTAACGAGGTTTCCAATTTTAGCTTTCTGGTGTTGCTAGGTACAATGATGGCACTCTGGCAGAGGAAAACATCGACGTACGATTCAAGGTTACTGATCAGAATGACAATGCACCAGTGTTTGAAGACGTCTATACTGGGCGTGTGGATGAGCTTACACCGAGAGGTTAGTGCTTCGTTTTTATGAAAATTCCTCACTAATCACTAATCATGTGATGACTCCATATTCCCATATGACTAATATTCAATTAATAAATGAAAACAAAGTTTTTGTTTTTGTTACATTGCTTACAGGTTGAACTTACTTAAATGTAATGTTATACTCAAACTAAACAATGTATTATGGAACAGGGTGTTTTTTTTAATGTACATCAGCTGTGAGATGGGTTGTGTTGAAGGTATTAGGCGATACTAGAACTCTTGATGTTGTCTGTGTAGATTCTCCATCATCCAGGTCGTCGTAGTCTCAACTTTTGAAGATGCCACAGAGAGGTTTTGTTTGTTTGTTTTTGTTTTTTGAGAAATTAAAATGTCATTCCTTGATATGCTTACAGGGACTTTTGTTATGAAAGTCGCGGCAACGGATGCCGATGAACCAGACAATCCCAATTCCCAGGTTTTTCATACCATCATAGACCAGACACCATCTCATGACATGTTTTACATGAACAGTGACGGGTCCATCTTCATCAAAAACAAATTAGACAGAGAGGTATGAACTAAACCCCACACCAGTTTCAGAGCTATGTAGTTAATTTTTTATTTGAATTTTGATATTTAATGATAATAAGAATCATAATATGATTATTAATAATACAATCAGATGTTAGAATAATTATTCTAGCATCTGAATTTTAAAGTCCAATGAAAATCTAGTTTAAGACATTTTTTCAGACGGTAAAGTTCAGTAAATACATAATGCTTATTAGAGTAATGAGCAGTGATGTTAATCAACTGATATTTCTATTATTTGCCAAAAATAATTATCATCTTGGTTATTAACCATTTTATTGCAGCTCAGGTAATTTGTTTTTTGTTGTTGTTGTTAAATTCCACACTCTGGAATTCTGTTTTTATACATATGCCTTACCCTAATCTCAACAAACAACTTGGTTATCTATATATTCAGTAAACTGCTTAGAACAGCATTTTTACAGAACACCTGACCGTGAGTACGGAGAAAATATGAGAAAGTTTGCAAACATTAAACCTTTTAAACAGTTAAAACATGATATGTAATATATTTGGTGCTTAATGAAAACTCTGGATTTCAAAGTGTGTGTGTGTGTGTGTGTGTGTGTGTGTGTGTGTGTGTGTGTGTGTGTTATTTTACCCTAAAAAAAAGTTCAAAAGGACAAAGTTCAAAATATAATTTATGGGCCCTTCAAAGATGTCTACTAAATATAAATTCTACTGGAAAAAACCGTATCTAACCAAACAAAGTATATCCACCTTAACTCACAAGCTACGTCCACACTAATGCATTTTCGTTTGAAAACGCATCGTTTTCTCTCCATTTTGGCCTCCCGTCCACACTGAGATGGCGTTTTCAAAACGCTCTCAAAACTCAAAACGCTCTCAGTATGTACATGCTCTAGATAGCTTTTCTTCAAATTCTTTAATTCTCACTCACTTTTGCAACTTTGTACTTTTGTGTTACTCGCAGCAACAACTCCACCTCATTGTTAGTCCATTTAAAAAAAACCCTGTGCTTTTCCTCGACATTTCGCCGCGACGTTTCAAAGAGATGGAAAGTAAATAAACGGCAGACAGAAATGAGGCAGGCCGAATCTTCTTGCTTTTCACGCATGCGCAATACTGGAACATAAGCGCTTTCAGCCGTTTCAATGTGGACGCACAACTCTGTGAATACGCCTGAAAACGCTAGTGTGGATGTGGAGCGTTTTCAGACAAAAATGCCATTTTAAATCTATCCGGGCTAGTGTGGACGTAGCACAAACTGACCTAACCACAAAGACGCTGCAGGGTTACCTTTATAGTGGTTTGGCCATAATATTTACATACAATAGGGGAAACAGAACAAACACCAATAACTTAAACTGACTTATACTTGTAAATGGGAAGTTTTAGAACAAAGTGACTAATGAAGCTTCAATCTGTGTGGAAGCTGGGGGGAAAAGTCATGAAACTTTGTTCTGGTCTCTTTGTGACCAGAACAAAGAGACTTGGAGTTAGAGAAACAGTCTTTTTAGTACGAGCTCCTATGGTCCTTCTCTAATCCTGCACTGGAGAACATGAGGCAAAGGCAAATTCATGGACTATACTAGTCACCAAATTTATATCAGTGGACAGTTTTTGTTTTTTTCCCTTTGATCACTGAAAGTGTTCCTGGTTAGCTATTTTGCCTACCTACCTAATGGATAGCTAACCAGAAATATTGCTACAGTAAAGTGTGATGCAGTCTCTCTAAGAAATTAGTAACTTATTGGTCTGTGATTTCAGAAATGTGATCAGTATATCCTGACAGTAAAAGGTCAGGACCTAAATGGTCAACCAGAGGGGAACACTGGAACTGCCACTGTTACTATAGCTGTTGGTGATGTGAATGACAACCTACCAACTCTGGAAAAAGAGCAGGTAGTTTTCTTTCTTGCTCTCTTTTAAATCAACTGTGTAGTTATTTACAAATATATGCAACATATTGCTGAAATAACCCCTATGATTTTTTTTTATATTCTCCACCTATAGTATGAAGGTAGCATTGAGGAGAACACAGAAGGTGTGGAGGTGATGAGAATCAAAGCACAGGACCTGGACCTGCAAGGCACTGACAACTGGGAAGCTGTATTTGATATTGTCAAGGGCAACGAGGCTGGGTATTTTAGCATTAAAACAGATCCCAACACCAACGAGGGAATCCTAATGCTTGATAAGGTACTGCAGTTTGAAATGAAACATGTTATTATTACCGTATTTCCCGGACTACAGAGCGCACCTGAATATTAGCCGCACAAGCTAAAATCAGGGGAAAATCCTGTTTTGTACATACATTAGCCGCACCTGACTAAAAGCCGCAGGTGTTTCAATGTTGACTTATCATATGTAAGAGAATATGCACAAAGGGAATTGTCAGGAAAGAGATGGCTGTTTGGAGACATCACTTTTATTAATATTTTGAAAAACAAGTTATGGGTACATATTTGCATAACTTTTTAGGTATATGTGCAAGTGCCGGTAATTACAAGTACGAAACATGTACTGTGCTTCATAAACGAGTAACAAATGTAGTACATAACAATAACCTACAGCACACCAGAACAATAGATTCGGCCTACCTTTTAGGCTCAGGTGCAGTGACACGGCTTTAACAAGAAGAAAAGTCAGTATAGCTGGGTTTCATTTGACGTAGACGTGACGTCGACGTAAAGCGCGAAATTTGACTGGAGGGCGGAAGTGAAAAAGATCAGCGCAAAATCACAGACAGACAGTACGCAAAATGCCTTTGTCCTGTTGTGTTTACGGATGCTCCAGTAGGTCGACCCGAGAAACTGATAAACGGTATTTTAGGGTACCAAAAATAGCCCAACGAAGAGGAGAAAAATGGAAAATTCTAACCGAAAAACGTAGGAAAAATGGATTTTAAATTTACGTTTACAGTCGGGAGGAGCAGAGTCTGCCAATGCCCGTGTCTGCAGCGACCACTTCGTCAGAGGTAATGTTATGTTTGCAAACGAACTTATTAGCATTATGTTGTCGTTAAATTCTCGTTTACTTAGTGCTTTTAAGTTAGTAGTCTAATATTGACTTGATTGGGACTATAGGCTGCCCAAGTGCTTTGGATGACGAAGAGTCGGAGGACTGGGCTCCGACGGTCAATCTCGGCTACGAACGAAAACCCAGATCGGAATCAGTTCTCAAACGAGAGAAAAGAATGAAGCTTAAGGCAGAACAGCATCGATGTGCAGAGGCGATTTTGGATATGCAACAGACGGCTGAGAGCCCGGATTTGAGCCTAGTGACAGTGGAGAAAAGCCGCTACCGCTAACTGTTAGCGTGTTTAAGATAAAGCAATATAAGAACAAACACTCACCCTTGCAAACACCAAACTGTATCCATCACGGAGACGTTTTGTTCCAAGGTTATGGACCCACTCGCTGACAAAAAAATTGTACGCCTCCAGACTCTTGAAAGCTTTCATTTGCTGCCTAGTGTAGTAAGAAGTCTGGAGGACCAAGTAGTTGGTGATATCCACAGCCTCGATAGTAGGCAAATCCTTTACTTCTGTGGTGTATTCGGACATTTTCAAAGAATACGGATCACGTCCGATATATTTTTTAACTATCTGTTTATATCTCTCCCGAGAAACGGGGTCTAAAGTTGCACAATAGCTGCTCTCCTGACTCTCCACAGTGTCCTCCATGTTTACTTCCGCCCTCCACTCAAAAATCGCGCTGCCTCCGCACGTCATCAGAACCACGTGACTGCAACCCAAGTATTCACCATCTTTCTCTTCTTCCTGCGCACTAAAACCACCAAAGTCCTCTTCTCCAGTGTCGGATACAAACAGGCTCAGGATGGCTTCGTCATCCACTCTCCGCTTCTCTCCTTCGTTGTCACTTTCAAAACCAAAGAAATCCTCGTTGTCAGTGTCAGAGTCGAACACCCTCAGAAGGGCCGTGGCGGTGTCCTCCTCTCCATCATGCAGCAGTCCAGCCCTTCAAAATCCGTTGGTGATCGTGGATGTTTTCACACTTTTCCACGCTGTCAGAATCCACCGGTGGAGTTGGGCATAACTTGCTTTTCGCAAGTTTATCGCCGCTCATCATCCACGCCTCCCGCTGAACGCGTAGCGCTACTTTGAAGTTTGTTTTTCGCGCTACTTCGTACGGCACTACGTTGCCTGGCGGACGGACATGTGACTAACATACCACTCTTGAACCCCGATCCTTCCGCCAGGCAACGTAGTGCCGTACAACAGCGGAACAAACAAAACAAATCGTCTTACGATATGACAAAAATCACGGACAATCCATAGAAAAGCCGCACCTGACTAAAAGCCGCAGGGTTCAAAGCTTGTGCAAAAAGTAGCGGCTTATAGCCCGACAATTACGGTAATTGTATTATTATTACTTATTCTGTTATTCATATTGTTATTAAATCCTAGTCTTTAATACAGCATAAAAACAATGCAAATAGAAATCTTGATATCTCAGAGCATATGCATTTTAAACACCAAATCTGGTGGAATAGTCCAGTGTCCGTTTGATCAAATTGTCCGGCAAACTGTACTGTCCAGAAAAACAAATACATGTTTTATATTGTGAAATAGTTTAATTTTTTCGGTTAGTTAAGTAGTGCATGCCCATGAGATCATCATCTCTTATCTGACTGTTCTTGGGTCTGCCTAAAATTTTGTCCATATAATTATGAATAGAATTTCTGTATATCTTTGACATTTTCTTTAACCTCATGTACTAATTGGCAGTAAGTTTGTGAATAATTAATGATTAATTGTTTTCATTTAACTCAGGAAGACCATTAATAAATGCAAACATCTGTCATTATTATGATGAATTGTAACAGATAATCTTTGTTTCTGTCTGTCATCTGTGTAGGCTGTGGACTATGAAGATGTAAAAGACATTGAACTTGGACTATCTGTGAGGAACAAGGCTCAGCCATATGGATCTGGGACAAGTGCTGGAATAACTATTGGAGGAGGGGGGGGAGGAGGAGGGGGTGGAGCTGGAGGGGGAGGGGGTGGTGCGGGGGGAGCAGGGTCTGGAGGTAAGGAGGGGTGTGCAAACTGGAAAGACTAGACATAAAGAAAAAAGAAGATTTCTGGAATGGACACCCTTTACCTAATAAATCCTAAATCAAAATCAATGTGAAGAACCAGCCTGAAGGGGCAAAGTTTGATCCCAAAGTTAAAGCCATTCATATCTCAGAGGGAAGCACCTCCTTCAACATTAAAGATGTTATTGCCAGCTACCCTGCAATAGATGTAGACACTAGGAAACCCGCTCAAAATGTCAGGTCAGTGCATATACAAATAAGTGCACATTAAAGCCACTAAAACTAAACTACAGTGTCAATTTCACCTTTCATTCACCGTAATAACAATATAGCTTATTTCTGCTGTAGGTATATTAAGGGATTCGACCCTAACAACTGGCTAACTATTGACCCAGTCACAGCTGAGATCAAACTGAACAAGATGCCTGACAGGGAATCTCAACACTTGGTCAATGGGACATATTTTGCCAAGATACTCTGCGTTTCAGAAGGTATGCTGCTTTACTGTATAAATGCCGACACTTCAAAAATTATTTACGTAAGGGGAGTACCCTTGAAAAGTAGCTTTGGAATTGCAACCCCTGGGAATTTCTCACTTATTAGTCAAGCCAACTTCCTTTACTGTGAAATTAAAAAACATAAATGTAACACAACCGGTGATAGTTTTTACTAAACATAATATTGTCAACAAATTGCCTGATATTATGTAGACGAAAAAATTATTATTTACTGTCAGGGTATTGATGCATGATTAAAAACCTAATGCAACATAACTACAAGTGCATCACATTGCTGGCTAAATACATCTGTACGGTCTGTATAATGCCGACTTGTCATGAATAAAAACAAAATGGCTATTCAGGAGTAAGATTCATGTAAATAAACAAAATCAATATTAGTTTTACTTTTTGTCCAAACATAGTAACAGTAAAGCAAATAGTTCTTGAACTTATCTCTGACAAAATGGACATAATCAAAGGAAAAATGTTAAATTCTTGCTTTTTATTTCTTTTTTTTTTTTAATTTACCAGACACACCTGATAAAACAGCCACTGGCACCATAGCCATCCAAGTGGAGGATTTTAATGACCACTGCCCCATCTTGACAAGTAACATGGAGACTATGTGCACAACAGTGGATGCTGTTATAGTGAACGCTAATGATGAGGATGCATTTCCCAATGGACCTCCTTTTGTGTTTGAGATCCTCCCAGAAGGCACTAAGGGAAAATGGCAAGTGGAGCATCTTAATGGTGAGTAGAAAACATCACCACAATATCATGAGTGTGGTACATTCAGAGACTGAACCACCGACTGGCCAAAGAAGATGAGTGTGTACTTGCTCTCTTCTCTGTGTTAACTTCTTCTTGTCCAAATTTATCTGACTTTTTACAGTTAAGAAATAGACTCCAAGGAAGGATGGCTCAAATGTGATTGGTCACTTTCAAAACAGTACCACAACAAACCTATGTGACGAACTGTTTTCAAAAAAAAATTTAAATAAACAAAATGAACTTTAATTGCAGATACGGTGCTTTATTTAAGTGATTTAGCAAGGGAAAAGCAAATGGCTCAATCAGTTAATAATAATCACATAATTAAATCAATTTAAATTTTAGAAAAAAGTAAAAATCTTAAATAATCAAAGCTAAATTGTTGCTGTATATCTATTGGTTTTATTGAAGTTTTAGTGGAAGAAAGAGAAGACACTCTGGCTATAGAGGATCTTCTGCTCGCTATGACAAAACTACAAAGAAATAAAGGCTAATGGTTACCTGCAAAGAGTTTTATACATCCTCTTCCCTCCACCTTTCCATCTTCACATGGCCAATATTTGCATCCAGTCACTTGATGTGACATCCAAGTATCGTCTCACCTTCTCCCTGTGACCTCTCACATAAAAGTTTTGACCACTTTCTAGCAAAAGCTACTTTATTACAGTTATCACATTAGTTCACTATATTTCACTTCAATTTGCGTGATTCCTTTTTACTTCTGTATATGTATATACATATATACACAGTCCAGATCAAAAGTTTAAGACCACTTGAAAAAATGGCAAAAAATCATATTTTGCATGGTTGGATCTTAACAAGGTAAAATGTAGAGCTTTCAACATGCTACAAGAAGAAATGGGAGTGAGACAAAACATTTTTTTGGTCACACTGTCATGACCTTCTGACGTCAAAGGCAAAAAAAACTTTTCCCAATTTGAACGTGGTTGGGTTGTTGAACTGCACAAGTATGGTCTCTCGCAGCACACCATCACTGCTGAGGTGGGGCACAATAAGACAGTCATTTGGAATTTCTTAAATGATCCTAAGGATTGTGGAACAAAAAAGTCAAGTGGAAGACCCCAACGTTACTGGCATGACAAGCAGATGCCACCTGAGATGTTCTCTACGCGCCACAGTGGAGGGGACGTCATAATGGTCTCGGGTGCTTTTTCCTTTGGTGGAACAATGGCGCTTCAGGAGGTGCAGGGGCGTCAAACGGCCGCTGGCTATGTCCAGATGTTGCAGAGACCATCACTCATGATTGAGAGCCCTCGTCTGTGTGTTAACGACTATGTTTTTCAACAGGACAATGCTGCAGTACACAATGCCTGCAGGACAAGGGACTTCTTCAAGGAGAATAACATCACTCTTTTGGACCATCCTGCATGTTTCCCTGATCTAAATCCAAATAAGAACCTTTGGGGATGGATGGCAAGGGAAGTTTACAAAAATGGACAACAGTTCCAGACAGTAGATGCCCTTTGTGCAGCCGTCTTCACCACTTGGAGAAATCTTCCCACTTACCTCCTGAAAATGTTTGCCCCAACTAATTTTTGAAGTGATCAACAATACGGATCAACAACGGTGGAGCTACTCTGAGTTCATGTTTGGAACTTTGATTGACCCCTCGCTGACAAGACTGGCTACAGATACCGACTACAGAATGAAGCAATTGTCAGCGACCTCATTTACATAGATGTAGCTGTTCACCAAGAGCGAATGAGACATTGATTCACTGACCCACATCACCAGGATGTACAACAGCGACATTGGAATGTCGTTCGGACTGGAGAAATATAGTTGGATGATAAAAAGGAGAGGGAAGGTAGTCAGAACTGAGGGGATCAAACTACCAGAAGGCAACATTGCAGACATTAAGGACAGCTACAAGCACCTTCAAATCTCACAGGCAAATGGGAACCATGAAGAGGCCACTAAGAAAGCTGCAACCACCAAGTACCTGCAAAGAGTCAGGCAAGTCCTGAGGAGTCAACTGAACAGTAAGAACAAGATCCGGGCCATCAACATCTTCGCCCTGCCTGTAATCAAGTACCTTGCTGGGACAATAAGCTGGCCACAGGAGGAGATAGAAGTCACTGACGTCAAGAGCAGGCAGTTCCTGACCATGCACGGAGGGTTTCACCACAAGTCCAGCACCCTGAGACTGTGTGCTATGCGGAAGAAAGGAACCAGGGGACTAGTGAGTGTCAGTACAACATTCCATATTGAGACAACATATGTCCACCAGTACATCAGGAAGATGATCATGATCAACCGCGTGTGAATACCTCAGGCAGCACAAACCCAAGAAGGAGGACTAACCATCATGGAAGGACAGGCCCCTGTACAGTATGTAGCACCGGCAGATATAGGAAGTGGCTGACATTCAGAAATCCTACCAGTGACTGGACAAAACTGGACTGAAAGACAGCACAGAGGCACTAATCATGGCAGCAGAAGAACAAGCTCTGAGCACAAGATCCATAGAGGCTGGGGTCTATCACACCGGGTAAGACCCGACGTGTAGGATGTGTAAAGGTGCCCCTGAGTCCAGCACATAACAGCCGGGTGCAAGATGCTAGCAGGCAGGGCATACATGGAACACTATAACCAAGTGACTAGCACAGTATACAGGAACATCTGTGCCGACTATGGCCTGAAAGTCCTGAGGTCAAAATGGGAGGTCGAGAATGACCGAGCTAAGAAGTCCTGTGGGACTTCCAGATACAGATGGACAAAATGGTGATGGCTAAACAACCAGACATAGTAGTGGCGGGCAATCAGAAGAAGACGGCTGTAGTGATAGACGTAACAAATACCAACTGACAGGAGCATCAGGAACAAGAGACACAAGAAGCTGGAGAAGTGCCAGTGGCTCAGGGAAGAGCTCGGGACGATGTGGAGAGTGAAGGTAACAGTGGTCCCAGTGGTAATTGGAGTGCTCAGTGCAGCGACCCCCAAGCTAGGCGAGTGGCTCCAGCAGATCCCAGGAACAACATCTGAGATCTCTGTCCAGAAGAGCACAGTCCTAGGAACAGCGCAGAACCCTCAAGCTCCCAGGCCTCTGGTAGAGGACCCAAGCTAGGAGGATAAAGACTGCGCAGGGGCGAGCCGGGAATATTTTTTTATATAATACACACTACGGAATTATTTAGCAAAGGAAAATTTGTGTTGACAGCGCTTCAAACCCTTGGCCTTCTCTCAAGGAGCTTCATGATGTAGTCACCTGAAATGGTTTTCACTTCACAGGTGTTCTCTGTCAGGGTTCATTTGTGGATTTCTTGCCTTCTTAATGGGGTTGGGACCATCAGTTATGTTGTGCAGAAGTCAGGTTGGTACACAGCTGACAGCCCTATTTGACAACTGTTAGAATTCATATTATGGCAAGAACCAATCAGCTAAGAAAGAGAAATGACAATCCATCATTACTTTGAAAAGGTTAGTCAGTCTGGAAAATTGCTAAAACTTTGAATGTTCCCAGTGTACAGTCAGCAAAAACCATCAAGCGCTATAGAAAAACTGCTCGAGAAAAGGAAGACAGAGTCACCTCTGCTGCTCAGGATAAATTAATCTGAGTCACCAGCCTCAGAAATTGCAAGTTAACAGCACCTCAGACTGGAGCCCAGGTAAATGCCCCATAGAGTTGCAGCAGAGAGTCAGTCTCTACATCAACTATTCAGAGGAGACTGCATGAATCAGGCCTTTATGGTCAAATAGCTGCTAAGAAACCACCACTCAGGAACAGCAACAAGCAGACACACTGAACCAGTATGGAGTTAGTTGGACCATCATTTATTTTTCAAAAGAAAAATGACTCAAAACACACCTCCAGGCTGTATGAGAGCTATTTGACCAAGAAGGAGATTGATGAAGTGCCACACAAGATGGCCACAGTCACCTGACCTGAACCCAGTTAGATGTTTTGGAATGAAAAGGCACAAGGGCCAACAAGTGTCTCTCTGGGGCACACCTTCAGTACTGTTGGAAAACGGTTTCAGGTGACTTCCTCATGAAGTTCATTGAGAGAATGTAAAGTGTGCAAAGTAAAGGGTAGCTATTTTAAAGAATCAAAAATATAAAACATGTTTTGAGTTGTTTCACTCTTTTTTGTTTACTACATGATTCCATATGTGTTCATTCATGGTTTTGATACCTTCAGTGAGAATCTACAATGTAAATAGTCATGAAAATAAAGACTGCCACCCAGTCCTCCTCCACTACTTCTCCTGAATCCACAGCTTCACCTCTCACATGTTGGAGCTCCAAAAACCCTTCCCTGCCACCACAGCTGTATAAGTACCACACCATGTACTATATAAGGTGCACCTGTGTACCTGGCTACATCATCAGCTACACCCCTACCAACTTTATTAGACATGTTATTAGGCACAGTACAATTGTAGCCTAATATGCTGGCTACTTTGAGATTTGTTTTAGCTAACTAAGCAGCAAACCCCAGATCAAGTACAGTACCTTTTTTGTTAAAGCATATAGTTACGGCTGTATCAGGTGACCCTGAATCCTCCCTTAGTTTTGCTGCATTAGGCTTAGGCTGCTGGGGAATTCCCATGATGCATTGATTTCTTCTTCAGTCACCTTTGTCACTCATTATGTGTTAATAGGCCTCTCTGAATTGACTCATACTTGTTATTAATCTCTTCTCTCTTCCACAGCATGTCTTTTATCCTGTCTTCCTTCTCTCACCCCAATCGGTCGCAGCAGATGGCCCCGCCCCTCCCTGAGCCTGGTTCTGTCTGAGGTTTCTTCCTGTTAAAAGGGAGTTTTTCCTTCCCACTGTCGCCAAAGTGCTTGCTCATAGGGGGTCATATGATTGTTGTTTTTCTCTGTATGTATTACTGTAGGATCTACCTTACAATATAAAGCACTTGAGGCGACTGTTGGATAATTAAAATTTAATTGAATTTTATTAAGGCAGTAGCAACAATCCCACCACAATTTCTACAGAAATTATATAATCTAATTCATGTTCATTTTGTTTCACATATTTTTCTGTTTTCTGACAGACACTGCAGCTATCTTGCGGTCTCGGGAGTCTCTTTGGCCTGGTATTTATGAGGTGGAATTTTTGGTGAAGGATCAGCAGGGGCACATGTGTCAAGATCCACAGAAAGTCAAGGTTGAAGTTTGCACCTGTGAGGATGGAATCATGTGTGGAAAAAAAGGCGCCAAGGGTCAGCCAAGCAAAGAAGCGAAGTTGGGACCTGCAGGCATTGGGCTGTTACTCCTGGGCCTATTACTCTTGTTGTGTAAGTGTTAATTCATCCTAATTGCCATAATGTATTGGTTTTGGTTTTGGATAATTAAGAGAAGAGGGAAACCACCTTAACGTTTTTTAAATAAACAGCTGCTGCTGACAGATGTAAGACTATGATACATTTATTGTTACTTTATTGTGTATATAAATTATAGCTTCTTCCTTGAAGGATTACTGCACCCTCATACCTTACATTTAAGGTTAATTAAAACTTGGTTTTACAGTGATTCCGTTGTTGCTACTCTTCTGCAAATGTGGAGGTGCTGCAACCTTCCCAGACCTCTTTACTGAGATGCCATTTGATACAAAGTCACATCTCATCAACTACCATACTGAACGTCAGGGAGAGAACACGGTGAGAATTGTATTTTCTTCACTGCACTGAAGAATATTGGCTAATGTGGTGATGCCTACATGAAAGTTGTGTCAAAGTGATTTTTAACTTTGTACTAACATGTACATTTTTGGCGCAATTATAGGACGTGCCACTACTGAACTTGCCAACACAACTGGATGGAGATGTCTTAAATGTAGCCATGGCTCAAAAACCTGTAGCAATGGATGCGTTGGGCAGTTTTGATTTCGCACAATCTGTTGGATCCATTAATAGGCTGAACGGGGCTAACTACCAAGGTAGTTACAGAAAAGAAATTTGGGGCATGAACCAACAGGATCCAAGTGGTTTCTACTCTGAGACTGAGACAAGAGAATCGTTGGGAGGTGTAGGACTTTATGATGGGATGGCTCTGCCAGACCACTTTTTGAGGCAATATTACGATCAGGTAAGAAATCTCATGAGTTGGAAAGGTTCAGTAGCTAATGAAAAGCAAAGCAGAGATTTGAATTAATTATAGGGACGTGTTTTGATTAGCCCTTAAGGCTGAAAACGTATTTAGTTGTTCATAAAAATTCCTTGCACATACCAAGAGTTGACATGAAAAATACTATCTGAATAATGGTGTCCTTTTTACTTCAACAGAAAGTCACTGATGGAAATGATAACCTTGGCGTGAAAGATGGTTTGTTGGTGTATGATTATGAGGGCCAAGGGTCCTCTGCTGGCTCAGTAGGCTGCTGTAGCCTTTTGGAGTCAGACAATGACCTTCAGTTTCTTGATGACCTTGGACCAAAGTTTAAGACTCTCGCAGAGGTGTGCAGTGGCAAGACAATTTCTTGTGATGACAAACAAGCGCTACCCATTACCCCTAATGCCTACATCAATACTCAAACCTCAGTATCAAGTTTCGATGAGTGTACAAAAACTGTCCCCTCCACCCAAACTGGAGCCAACCATGCCCAAAGTGGAGCAGAGTATGGTCATGAAGACAACCAAGCATTCTGAAATGGCAAAGGAAAGTACAACTGCAGTGAGGGAAGGGATGAATACAATGACAAGAGGGTTGGCAAATCAAGGCCAGATGGTCCTAATACAGCAACAGCAGCCTGTCTACTACACAACCACTCCTGTGTTGCAGCCAATGCATTACGTAGTCCAACCACAGGTTCAGAACACTATGATCCTGGCTGAAGCACCAACCACCAACCTTCAAGGCCTGATACTGGTTAACAACACGCAATCTGGACCTGCCCAAGGAGTATTTGTTCAGGGAAACACTCTCTTGTCCAGTGGACAAGCCCAGGAGCCCACCATGGTGCTGGTGGATAACAGTGGTGCCCAGCGGAGTCATGCAAACTTGATCCAAGCTACAAACTTGTCTGGCTCTCAGACCATGAAGGTTGTAGAGGGTAAGGTCCCTGCAGGGTCAATGAAAGTGCGGAAGGGGAATCAGGCTTCCTATGTTGAGGGAGGTCCTCTACAACCAGGAGACCTTCCTGGTTCTCAAAAAATCCTAATGGTCAGAGAGAACTTTGTTCAAGATGCAAATGGTCTGCCAAAGAAGGCTGAGGTCTTTGGCTCTGAAAGAATTCTCTACAAGGACAGCCAATCCACTGGCTCTATGACCAGTAAGTTTGGGTCCTCTACTGTTACAGTATCCGCTGGCCCTGTATCCCACAAAGTACAGGAGAAATTCACTTAACTGAGAAAGGCAAAAGTGCAAACTTTTGGCAAAGATATGTTCCAGGTCTATTCTTATGACTTCACTATGTGCATATGAGGTTATGGGTGGGAGCTGTGCTGCTTAATTTTCTTGTATGCTACATGGAAACATGCAAAAGATCTCTGTAATGGTTTAAATGTTTAATAGTACAGATAGTAAATGAAATGTTCATTGCAAATTGTTTAATATAGTATTCAACACCTTACAATAAATACTAGTAAGGTCTTTTCACTTTTCTTTTCACTTTATAAACCACTACTATTTCCTTGTGTCCTGTCTTTTTTCTGGTCTCTTCTCTTTCCCCTCATTATCAACTGGTCTCAGCAAATGACTGCCCCAGTTTGAGCCTGGTTCTCCCAGAAGTTTCTTCCTGTTAAATGGGACGGGATTTTTTTTCCTGTTGTTGAATGCACTTGCTGTAGGGGTCATGACTGCTGGTGTTTCTAGTGTAGGGGCTTTACCTTACAATATCAAGTGCCTTGAGACACTGGTTGTTGTGAATTCGCTCTAAATAAATAAAATTGAATTAATGGCTACAAATATATAACTTTGTTATAACCATTATTTTAACTTGTTTGTTTTCTTTCTAATATGGAAACTTTATGATGCGTGTGTATGTTAACTGTGTTAACTCTGAACGTGAGAGAGTGACTGATGGGACTACTTCCAGCTTAAAGATAGCTGGCTCCTTACTAACACTGTGCAACTAAAGCCTCCAAAGTAGTCCTGCTGTGTATAGGGAAAATCCTATTTTGCTCTCCTTCATACCAGCTTCAACTGGTTTGGCTTTACCTGTAGCTTTTGTTGTCTTGAGTGGGCTGATTTTGCTCTGTTTGCTAGATGTGGAGGCACAGGGGAATTCATAAGATTTATATTCCTAAGATAGGAAGCAATTAGAAGTAAATGTTGGATAACATGGGGACCCTGTTTTGTGTTGCATGTTCACACACTTTCAACTCAGTAATTCATTGACATTTTTCAGTTGTTTGAATGTTGTATTAGGGTTTCATTCATTTCCTTTTGAATGTATAATTTTTAATGGTTAGAAATTGTAAAAACTCAATCCATTTATTACCATATATTTGAACACTCATGTGGTGGCCTAATATCAATGGTAAAGCATGTATTGGGGAAAAACATTTATGCTTAAGATAATAAAATCTTTGGTATGGAGCACTTAAAGGTCTGCAAGTGTTTTATGTTCACTTTTCTCCATGTGTCAGTTCCACGTTTTTCTACCATGAACTCAAATTTGGAATATAGTGAGTTCATTTTTGTTATTTAATTATTTAAATCTATTTTTTTTTAATATTGGTAAATTGACTGGTTCATAGCACTTTTCATAACACTCAAAGAATATCATAGAGTGATGCTACGCTTTCTTTTGGTAAAATAAATTGAAAAGGCTTCATACAAGCACTGATAAATAAACACAATAATAACAGCTCATTTACATGTATTGCCCAGATGCAATCTTTGTCTACACAGGGAATAAACTCTCACCATCATGTAGACACCAGACTGATAATGCAATGCATCAAGACCTTGAATCCAGTTTGTTTGTTTTTTCCCCTGTCTTTGTACAAGGACGTTACAAACCAATAGTATGCTGAGGTTCGAGGAGTTGAATCACAAATTTTCCATTACATTTCCATCCTTTCAATCATTTTTTATCACTTTTATAGTATAATATTTGGATGCAAAATATAGGATTAAGATTGATTTGTTTTCATGAGAGACGTGACCAGTTAAGAAAGCCATTTGGTGCTTTATCAAAATCCATTATTTGTGTAGTAGTTATCACAAAGGAGATTACAGCTGGAATTGCAATATTTACTGTGGAAATGAGGATCAGGTTTGTCATGTATCAGGTACCAGAGTCACTATAAGTCTAGCTGCCATACAGATTCTGCATAAGTAATTTGTTACTGAATTGGTTGTGAAATTCGATTACTGTAGCCACAAGTTATTTTTGATAAAATCAGGACTAGCGAAGGGTAGTTGAAACTCTCAGCAAAGGAGTGCCTTGAGTGACTGATACACGCTGTTTGTGATGTTTGGTGAGTCATTTCAATGTTTATCATGTGTAAAAATGATTAGAAAAGTCACACCAATAATTTAAGTAAAACCAAAAAACAAAACAAAAACTCTTTAAACAGGTGTGTGTGTTCCATTGCTGATACCCCATTGGTGACAAGGAGTCTCACTCTGCACATAACTTAGTTGGAGCTGGACGTGCTCTTGTTGATGAAGGGCACTTTTTAACCCTTTTACTTTTCATTCCAATGAAGCTGTAGGTGGAAAGCGCAGAGCACATCGCACACCCTTGTTGTTTCAGACTTGACACTAAGACAAAAGTAAACAAATACAGAGACAGAGACCAGAAACAAACAAGGAGACAAAACTGACTAAATAAAGGAATGCAGGGAGGACACAGAGAGACTAAACATGAGAAGGAGAACTGACAAAATTAAACAAGGAACTAAGTGTCAGGAGTGTCGTGTGTGGAGGTGTGGAAGAGATGACCCAAAAGCAGGACTCACGGTGCAGAAATGATGAGGATTTATTGGAGCGGGTGAATGAACAGAGCAGGAACGATGGAGTGGCTGGCTGGCTGAAAGACTGGATGAATGGCTGACTAACTCATCTT